AGAGCGATAACATCATTAAAAGACATATTTTTGAACAGAAATTCGACTGATAATGTTTCATACGTATGTTGAGGTAATCAGAAAAAGATCGCAGAAATTTTTATAGGCGTCGAAGTCCTTCAAGTGCTAACGATGTTGATTCAAGTGAAAGGCGTGCTTCCTCAACGGGACGAACCAACAATTCGATTACATTCAGTCACTAACCAAGAAATAAAGGCAGGCACTGCATGGCTCCAATGATCAATTCATATGCGCTGAGAAACGCTGAGTTCTCCCAATCTGTCATTAAACGATAATGATTTCACTCGTAATCTGTCCTGTTGCTCTCTTCATAAATATAACTGGGCAGACATGTCACTGACAGCAAAAACTACAGCAGTGTATATTCCTGTCTCAACATTAATTATCGACCGAGGCGCTGCCATCACATGGTTGAATAAAATATATCCAAAGTTCATGATCCAAAGCTTCTATACAGAAATAAGCAGCTGAATCGCCTCTGCATATCGAGAAATATCACCTGCAACTGTTTGGGGATAGAGGTGAAAGTTTCTGAACGGTTAAGATTACTCAAATACAGAGGAATGATTGCAAACCGGATGATTCAAAGAAGTACAACAATAACGTCCATGATCTTTAGTGACTGAATCTGTCAGTTTAGCGTCAAATAAAAAACTCATCACGCATTTTGCTTAGAGTATTTACGAGTACGGTTTGTTTACAGATCAAACTTTCGATCCACTCGTGCCAGTAAGTGCATTTGCAAAATTTCATTAAAAAAAACGACGCTACAAACCAATCAGAAAGACCCTCCGAAGCCAGACTGCTGAAGTGTACACTTCCATCTCAAAACCTCGAACCATTCTCGTTGTGAAACCTAATAATTTAATTGTCAACATTAGTATCGTTCGTCTTAAAAACGACTATCGACAATCGTTAGTTGTTTGTTGTGATTTTCATATTCAATTCAATTTAATCCGTCACACAGAAAAAACAACTAATTTCCATTCTCTACACAAAAAGTAACAGCTATGCAGGAAGCAGTCAACGCAAAAGTATTGAGAAAAAAACAAACGTATCAACAAAGGATAATGTGACGATCGTATGGCCTCTAAAACGATATTAGGGTCCAAAAAGTCAATCATTTATCTTGCAGTGTGCCTCATGAAAGTGGTTTTCTCTTCAGTACAAGTAAAGCTCCTATGTCTGCTGTCTATAAAAAACCATTCATTCATGGTCCGTACTTATGTTCAGTTGAATTAGCAAAATTAGCCCTGATTATTTTCGGTCAGAATTACAAAGCAGCAGCTCATTTGCCCGGGTTTACACGGTAAAGAGCACCACTTCATTAGTTCTGGCAGCCAACGCAACCATTTAAGCATTCCATCGTTCCACCATCAGCGAATCGATAAAAAATACGGCCAACGATTTCAGCACCAAGCAATAACCTGTTCCAAAGATAAAAGGAAATATCTTTGTTCAGAGACTGAGTAATTCACTCAGCTTGTGATCATACTGAAAACTGAATAAGACCACGGTTTATTCATGCACAAAGCAAGCATACTGTTCAATCAGATAAGTGATCAGTACTGACGCTTCCACGAGATTTTCACGGACCTGCTTCAAGAAGGACAAGGGTGATTTTTTAAGTTCTTCTGCGGTCCGCAGCCGCTGTAACGTTTGTAATTCCAACGCTGAGCTTCTGCTCCATGTTGTTGGCTAAGTGGTTTTTCGGCAACAGGCTTGACAACGCTTATTCAAACCAGAAAATGTACGTATCAATAATACCGGTTGATACTTTCGCAAGATTGGATATTTAAAAAATATTTCATATGTCTGTTCAGCGAATTTCCTTTCTGATCAATGGTTAACGCGATTTTTCTCAGCATGACAGGCGAATTTATCCTTCGATGATAGATTCTTCAAACAAACCAAACGGCAACTCACTTTGCCTCAGTCATATGGAACATTTTGAAAGTGTGGCAAAAGACGTGAACCCTGATTTAGTTGCAAAGATTTTTTAAAGATATTTCTCACTTGTTTCACTGGAAATGAAAATAAAATGCTGAACCTACCCAACAGTCTTTTCCTTCAAAATATTCAGTTTATTACTGAAAGATAAAACAATTCCAGTTCATTTTTTCATGCCTTAATAATTAACTTTCGCAACAGCCATAACTCAAGGTTTATTGTAAACGCACTGAAACTGATAAATTTCAAAACTTTAACCGGCATAATCATTTAATCAGAAAAAGATCTACATTAATAGACAAAGCTCTTTAACTCTAGAGTAATGAATTTCTTAAAGAAATAAAGCGTATTAAGTTTACTTTATTTAATAACAGTAATTATTAAGTTCAATTCGTTAATAATATAATAAA